CACTTTTCTTTGCTTTCACGGGGGAAACCTAAAATAATTGAAATGTGGAATTTATTGGGAAACCAAAGGGTGATAATTCCAACAAACTTTCCGTGAGACTTGATGAAATCTGCATTTTAAAGTGTATTATCAATGTAGCGTAGAATTAATTATAAACCGGGGTTCACGTAACTGGTACGCATGCGCGGCCGAAATAATTAATGCGTTCTTCAAAGATTCTAAAAAAGGCGTACCATCACAACCGAAGTTTTATACCCCACTTCGTGTATGTTACACATACTTTGAACTTGATATCTGAAAATATACAGAATTCAGTTCTTAACTTACCGTGCTAGCTGGTTGGGTAAACTAAATAATACTACCCATTTGTCTTGCTAGTTTAATATGAACTTGTTTTGTTGGATGGAGACAACTAATTTACATGAAGACCAACCATTTTTACTGGTGAGAACCTGATGTGAACCTCCGACTATAAATACTTTTAACTTGTCACTACTTCGATTTGCTTTATAATTTTTCACTATTTGTATCGCATATTGTGGGGATTTAGACACTTTGGCAATACAGTTTGAAGATAGAAAAAACGACCTCTACTCTAGAGTAATGATTTGAAAAAAAGAACTTTTTCAAAAAACAGATACAAGCATCTGATAGTGTTATTTTTATTACTTTTCTTGTAACGGAAATCAAGAAATATTCTATAAGTATTAAAAACACGGTAATATCAAAAAATATCTTTAATACGGACTTTTATTATTCCATCAACAGCGTTAATATCTAAAAAAAAAAGCTGGATCATAATATTTGAAGTACAAAAAACATTAGCATTGAGCGAGTTTTTTTATTCGATCGGAGTTTAGAAAAAACAGATTTAATACACGTTTAATAAATAACGTTAAAAAAATTTGTAGAGAAAGCTTAAATATGAGTATAAACACTGTATCTTTAAAATAATAATAAATATTGTTGCGTCAGCGAGGTCACGTGACTAGTGTCACGCCATGTTTCTAGAACTATCCTGTTCCTTCGGGAGTGCTCTAGCATTTGCTAGATTGGGGGTGGGCTGGTATAAATAAGATGGTCACAAGGTGACGGCATGAATGTGTGTGTAGGTGGTGAGTAATTGATTTGCAGTCAGAGAGTATTGTTGAAGTTCGTTATAGCGTTTGTTTTAGCGCGAATGTTGAAATCAAGTGTATCGTAAAGTTATATTCGGAAAGAATAAACCAGTTTTTTTAAGAAAGGACTTGTGTCGCTAAAGTTTCGTCGGAACGAAGTTAGGGAAAATTAATTAACAAACGGAGACGTAACAATATCAAATAAAAACACTGAGAATACGGAATTGATTACATTAATACTGATATGGCGCACCACCATACGTTCGATTCCCCCATTTCGTGTAGGTAACACATACTTTGATATCTACAAATATTCAAAACTCTGTTATTAACTTACCGTAATCAATTAGAGAGACAAGTTCCTGACATTCGACCAAACATGTAGTTAAAAAATAACATTTGTAACTTGGATTCTTCAATGTCTTGCATTTATTTCAAATTCGAACTACAAGATTGCAAGTTCTATACCAGCAGTTAACATAAAAGTTCGTTTTTTGCTTATTGATATATTCGTCAGAGCCAAGTCAAAGTTTTGTTATATTACAGAAGAGATACGTGTAATATAAATTATTAATCTTTTTCTGGAGCTCTATACGCCAGCGAAGTAAACACTATATAAAAAAAAGTCCCTATTAGAAAAAAATTGTATTTCATTTGGATTAATTACATAATAATGAATAAAATATTTTCAAAATTAAAGGTAACAATCTTTAAAAAACCTAGTCAATAGTAGATTAACGTAATGGTTCGTGTTTGTTTCTATGTTTTTTAAAGCCTGAACTTACAAGAACATATTCTGTTGGAATACAAAGTAACACCAAATGTTGGTAGTTACGACACAGAAAATGTTTAGTGACTCCATTATTTGTAAGTTCAAAAGCTATGTCTAAACTTGCCCTTTAACCAAAAAAGTTTGTTAGGTACTTAGTTAACAAACATGCGATAAACTAACGTTTTGATCCCAATAAAACAAAGTTTGAGATCTCTTGATATGAAAAAGGTAAATTGAATTACTTTAGGTTATATCGAGGAAAGAAGGAAGGATATGTTGATTAATTATACATTTATAAAAGATGAAATAACCTGCTTGATTTTAACAGAATGACAATATTGTTCCGGGGAGGATTGGCTTGAAGCTCGTGTGGTGGTCATACGTTTCTTATGAAACCAGAAAACTAAATCCAAAAATCATATTTTGCTAAACTGTAATTTTTTGTGTATACTTTTTTGCTCTCCGGTTACAAGTGTGGGACTATAATGCTAAAAGTAGGGTTTCAACACCCGCGGTGAGAAGGGCACCGATAGCGCATTTAGCTTTGTGCTTAACAATAACTTGTAAATACTAGGTTTCTCGATAACTCGGCTGTATCTCACCAGCAACATGTTTTGACAATATTACCCAAGTAGTCGGTTTTGTTTTTTTCACGTTTGACTTTGCAAAATTTAATAAACGGCAGGAGATGACTTTAAATTAGGGAGAAAAATTATTTGGAGTTAATAAAATATATTTAGGCGAGAAGACCTAAAGGTTTATTCGACTCGCAGTAATTTTTATTAATTAAACGGGTTTTGTGGTTAGGGCGCTCGGTTATTAGGCCACGGATCACGGAGTCGAAACACGTCTTCAATCATGTTTGTCCTTTCCGCCCTGGTGGCGTTATAATGTGATGGTAAACCCTCTGTTCGTTGTTAAATGTTAATGATTGGTGGTGTCGACTATCCAGGGCCGTATGAAGGGGTAAGGCAGTCAGGCCATAACCTGACCACTTTTTCATGCCATGTGCAGATAACCCTCGAGTAGCTTTGCGCAAAATACAAATCAAACCACCCTTTCGAGTGTTTTTGTCTAGGTGATTAATTAGTTAATTTTGAACTCCGATTCATTGATAGATTGTTTTTGAACAATAATTCGGGATATTATTTCTTCACATAATTTTTCTTTTTTAATTAAAAAAATTAAATTCCATTTTAAGTTGCTCGAAAATTTAAATTTTTCTTCTGTTTTGTTGAATTTCCGCCCTAAGCTACTAGAGGGCTATTTGCGCTAGCCATCCCTATTTTTGGAAGTGATAGACTAGATGAAAGGCAACTAGCGCTGCCGTAGGAAGCAATTTTGGAGTGATCAGGCTATTGCCATTTTTAGGGGGGGGGGGGGGGTCTGGTGGGATGCGCCTCTCCAGGAATATTTTGAAAATTTAATGCTGTGAGATTGTATCTCGAACCATTTTAACTACAAACACATTATTGAATTGAAAAAAGCAAGTTTTAATACATAAGTTGTAGCTATACTAGCCGTCCCTAATTTAGTTATGATAGTTCAGAAGGAAGGCAGCTAGTCAATACCGCCAACTCTTGGGCTAATTTTATACCAATAAATAATTGGTTGTTTGCTGTTAATCAAATATAGACAATGAGCTATCTGTGCTATGCCCACCGCAGATATCGAAATCCAACTTTTAGCATTATAAGCCCTTAGATTTACCGAGGAACTGTTTTTTAATGAAAATAAAAAAAATAAGTATAACAACTGTGTAAGAGAATGAAACTTCCGAAATTACTGAGACGATGAAATTTGAAGGATTTAGCGATGCAACTCGTCCCCTTAAAATTATTTAATTTTAAAAGTAAAATTTTTAAAACTTGACTTCGTAAAGGTATAAAAATTACCCGCCAGTTTATAATACAGGTTATGTCATACCATAATTTACAGTTAAAAATACTAAAATAGTTCTATTTCATGCGAATTTTAACAATGACTTTTCAAGAACGATTTGGATTTTAGCGATGTAAGACTGACCCAATAATCATGTAAACACAGTTTAATATTAATAAAGGTTTGTAATTTCACAAAAAGAAACGATGAAACGTCTCGCTCATGCAGCGTTTCTCAAACTGGGGTCATATTTTTCGTAAAAGAGATTTATATATGAATGAAAACATTTCATTTCGGAATACAGCTTTCCATGTAAACGGAATATTTATTCTTGAAATAAAAACATCGACAGGTTTGGGCCGGAAAATTTTTAAATTAAAAGGGGTCCTCAGGTTACTAAATTTTGAGAATCGCTGTCCTAGCTCCTTTGACCTTTCTACTCCAGATATAAAGTATATATATATATATATATAAGCTGTTATGGGTAAAACAGCGGAATCTCAGACTTGGTAAGAGAAGATACGTTTCTCGTTCTTTCTGGGAGATCTTGATCAAGCTGAAGCTTTTTTTCCAGCTCCCGTTCTGGTTTGATTTTGTAATGAGTAAACTAAAGTCTTATGTTAAATAGTAAATGTAAAAAAAAAAAGTGCATTTATTTTTACCAAAAGTAATATGATATATACATATCTGAAAGAAAAATACGTGCTTGATCATTTAAAATTTCGCAACAGAAGAATCGCATTTTCACAACCACTAAAGTCCGCCGGTAGCTCAGGGCAAAGTCTGGAGGATGAATACCTAAAAATCGGGTTTCGATACCGTAATGAGCAAAGCATAGATAGCTCATTGTGTAGCTTTGCGTTTAACAACAAACAAAATGCTAAACTAGAGAGTAAAACACGCTCCCTCGTGGCTGTTGTTATGGCAACACAAAGTATCATGAAAGTTATGGCTAAACCTTGTCCATTCAAGCAAAATTGTTTCTTGAGTTAAAAGTTGGTCTAATCTAAATTCAAAAATTATATATATATATATATAGTTTTTAAATAGGAACTTATGATGAAAGTATAGATTTATGTTTCGGTAATCAGTAAGTACATTTAATATTAGGAAATATATATATAAATTATATCGGATGCTGAAAGACAACGGGACATGTATCGCTTTACGTTTGTATAATTGGCGTGAGTACTACTACTACTAACTTGTATGTAATTAAACTTTTAAGTACATATATGTTGTTCAGATTTGTCCTGTTCTTACCAGAATAAACCCATATTAATACACGATTTGAAGAATATGTAGCACCGATGCTACCAATTTATTCCTTTTAATTATTCAGCAGATAATTTAGCGCTTTATTATTACCGATTAAATTTAAAGATAATATTTAAATTATGTATATCATAATACCTTATTTCCTTTTCAGGTTAAAAAACAGACATGTATTGTTATCGAAACAAAAATCCTTTGAAAAATTCAAAACGTATAGATACTTCATCATGGAAATTCAAAGAAATAGAAGGGCCAGAAAACTCTTCAGATCCTCACTTGTGTAACAATGAATTATCAGAAGTTAGACTTAACAAATATAATAAAAGAATGCCAAATCATCAACAGCAAGACAAAAGATTGGAAGAATTCGATGAACTAATGAGGAAATACCGAAAACAAATACTACAGGAAAGTTTACAAGCACAATTGGACCCATCTGTGGGTAAAAATTACATTTTTTGGTAATATGCTTCAAAATAATGAATAGTTATACATGTTGTAAACTAGATTTATTACTAATTAGTTAACTTATTAGGAAGTTTTGTTTTATATACAGATATATATTGTTTATAAAGGTTTTTCTAGTTGTAATATTCCACCTAACAGGATTTGTTTAAACAATATTATCATCTCCAGTATTTTAGTAGCATAGAATGTATTGTAAGATGATTTACAGAGAGATCCTATATTTTAAAAACAAGTAAGAACTTTTAATATTTTGTTTTTATTACTAAAGGAGCTACAAATTCCAAATGTTTCATAAAAAATCTTAATGATAAGTCATAAGTGTTTTTTACTGTGTTTACAAAACAAAAATATGAAAACTTCACTCTATAACCAAAGCAGGAGCAGTATAGTATCTGGACAAGGTAATACTCGTGACAGAGAAATGTAGACATATCTAGTTAATAAAAAATTGATATAAAAACAAAGCATTTCTTTATAATTATATTCTTCTGTCATCTTCACTATTACTGATAAAAGTATAATAAAGAGATAGAAACATGATACTGATACATTATGTACATAAAAATTATCAAATTATAAACAAAGTTAATAGATACTTTGGGTGGGTTTAATAATTGACTAGCAGAGACCCGCAAAACATTTCTGGCCAAATTAGTATCTTTATCGTAACAATACTTCTTTAAATATAACATTTCTAG